TATGGGATTTTAAGTTGTTGTCATCTATATGCTTGATACCCTAGTTCGAAGGTCATTTGTAGATTGAACTTGGTTATTAAGAATATTAGGTGTGTGTGAACTTCTTCCCCTACATTCTCTAGTCCTGTCTTGCAGTCTAATCATCACTTTCATAGTTTTATTTAGTTACTTATAGAAAGGTTTGATACTGTGTTTCAACTGTGATTTACATTATTTGATCTCAGGTTATCTCTCCTAATTTATTTCCCTTAATTTAGTGTTATTCGTTTTGCACATTGGAAACCCGCCTTGTTGTGTGTGTTGCTGTTTCATTCTTCTACTCTATTTATTATTTATTTGGTTTGCACATTATTGGTATAATTTGACAGCGTGGTAGCATGTCTAATTAGTGTTCTCAGGCTTTTTCCATTCATGATTATTTACACCGAATCTTTTTAGCATTGTTGTTGTTAGTAGGCATTTGCGTATTAGTTGAGAATGCTTTTATGTTTGTATTTTCAGCTATACGCACTGGATGGCCTGCTTTATTTTCGTGTTTACTATAGTTAGAGATGAGTATCCTGTCAAGGAGTTTTCGTTTTGGTGCATGATGCTGAGAACACAGCCCGCTTGCTCATTAGTGATCTGACCAGCGAAACAGTTCAACACCAAGTAATAAACTGTGCTGTCTTGTATTACTTTAGTATACTGTGCTGGTAGTATAAGTCTTTGTTCGTACGAATGTTTACATGAGTATAATAGATTCATCAAATTATGGAGTGTGATTATTTACTCTGATGTTATGACGATCTAATACCGTATTTGTGAATGGCGAGGTGTTGTATAGATTAACGGCGTAGTCCGGTGTCTAATATATCCTATTTACTGTCTGGGACTCTTTCTGATTTGACAGTTATGCATAGGTGTCGTTGTTGACTACCTGAAAATTCTGCCAATACTATAGTTTTGTTCTCGAAGCACGGTCCTCGCGAATTACTGAGTATTTTATCATAGATTAATGTTAAAGATTATTTTCGCAGTTATCGTGCATAACTGACAATGTGATTATTCTTAAAAGTTAGACCATGCGTTATGTTATATCTTTAAATTTTGACCTCAGACTGCGACTCCCTCTTTGTCTGCGGACTACCTCTTTTTGAGGGTAGGGGGTCCGTTTTGGAGTTCCCTATAGTTTCTCTATGTCCCCCTCCCGCTCCCCCCCCCAAGTTCCTTGTTGCCCCTGTGATGTATGTCTGGTTGTCTGTTCTCAATGCAAGTTCACATATGGAGTCAGTTAGAAATGTCCAGGACGTTCAGTACGGTCCGCGGGTTAGCTTTTGTGCTTAAGGTTCATGGGCACGATTTGGATTTGACCTCGGAGGTCATCTTGCACGGTTGCAGTAAGGGAGTAAGCTGACGTTATAAAACGTTTAAATGTAACTGGGCCCCTGCGCAGCATTAAATAAAGTGTCCTCCTGCAATAAACTATTGTCACATAGATTTCATTGCATGAACTTGGGGTACTAGCTTAGTAGATATGATAGATAGATATTGTAGATAGTAGATAGATCGAGCTTCTGACATCAGTTATATGATAGATAAGATGATAGATAGACTTAGATGATTAGATAGTTACTAGATAGATCGATAGATACGCTCATGCCTTACGCTAGATAGATGGATGGCCCGGTTTTGAGTGCTCGGTGATTTTTTCTTATTCACCATAGTGTCGGTCCCCAATCTGTGCTTTTATTTCCTGAGGTTAAATTGCTGTGTATGTGTGCTTGATTAAATTAATGGAGATTAGTGAGAAGCTACCTTGGCAGGCTAGTAATTTTAATATCTGCTTCCGCATGTTTCATCAGTTGCCATGGCTGTCACTTGTTAATTCTTAGGTTGTCATAGTCTGTTTGCCTGAGATTTGCGGAAAAGTGTTGACACAAGTTCATGTTATAATGATTATCATGTGATTCCAGAGTAGCAAATGTACACCACGTTACAAAATGTTTAAGGGTTGTGGTTTCAGTAATGCCTACAATATATATTGTTTTTCACCCTTAGGCAAGAAAATTTGCTGAGAGTACAGACAATGCCGTTTGGACCAATCAGTTTGATAACACTGCAAACAAGCTGGCTCACATTGAAACTACAGGGCCCGAGATATGGCAACAGACAAGTATGTAAGGCCTACGATAAAATATTGCTTGTTTCCGTTTTACCGATCCCGACTCGCACAAAACGCCGTGCGTACGCTTGACACATTTTATTGGTCCGATTTTAAAGAAAAACTAACAATTCTTGTGTTTCGCCAAAAAAAAAAAATCTAATTCGTTCCGCAACACATATACACAAACAGAATATTCACAATATACATACCAATCTTGTAATAACAAAATAAGTAAGATATTTTTTCTATCCTATCTACTTCTACTGCTCCGGTTACCTGATGAGGCGGTAGGTATTAAGTGAAACAAAATTTTTTATAGCTGGTGTTGGCCTAACAAACTCTGTAGTAAATTCGTATCCTCTCTCCTCTCCTGCATTCTCCTTCCTCTCTTTATTCCCTCTCTCTTGCTCTAAAGTCCTCTGCTTATCTCTCTATCTCTTTTTTCCTTCTCTTCTCTCTTTTGTTTACCAGTCCTATCTTTCATCTGCTCTTTTCACTCTTCTTCTCGTCTCACTCTTCTTCTCAAGAGACAGAACACAACAGAAAGAGCCTTATCCTGATTTCTAACGTCCCCAATGGATGGGGCTATGCGTATGAAAAATACAAATAAAAGTAACATGATATACGTCAAATGTGTTTTGCTAGTTTAATATTTAGTTTATGATACATTACTTAGTCTTAGCTCAACATGTATTTCCCACACAAATATTGACAGCTGTGATGACTCAGCAAGAATAGCACAATCCTGAAATAGAGCACACACCTCACAATCTTTAGACTTGGCTTACGTTCTATGCTTGCTCAGATTTGGCTAAATTCTAAAACATTAGGATGCCATTTCCCCTTCCCCAATTCAAGACAGTGCATGGTATGATAGTGTCAGGAGTGAATAATAATAGATATATTATTATTCACTCCTGATACTATCAGTGATAGTGTTCTAACTGAACATTAGTAGTGTAATTAAACTTCAATCTTCTGTATAGGGCATGAATAAGTTGACAAACTCCCTTACTTCACCAATAAAGCTACATTATTACCGCTCACACCGTTAGGCCACCATTTTTTATTTTGTTGGTTTACAGAATTTTTGTTGTTGTTGTTGACTCGGTAGGGTAAAAAAAAAAAAATGTTGTTTTGTCAGATCAAACAAGTCAAAATACAGTGATACTGTTGTTATACATGATATTAAAGTATTTTAAGAAAACTAAATGAAAACAAAACTCAACTTGTAATTATTTTTACTTATGTCGCGACCGACCGTAACGACAAACGACTTTTCAGAAAATTATAAACTTTTGTTTCCTATGAGCCATTGCACACACACGCGACAACGACCGGCGACAGCCTCGACGACAAAAATATTTAGGAACGTTTCTATTTTCCTGCGACACTTTACAAATAGCCAATCGCAGCCGTTTCCATCGGCATGTGACATAACGATTACGTCATAACTAACCCATAATGTTAGCCAAGACGTAAATTAATCTAGCCAAACGTTTGTCGTAGACTGGTCTCGGGCGCTAAACTCGCTCCGCATGTCACAAACAATGGGGCCGAGGACAAGTCTAACCAAAGCGTGCAAGCTGTGGAAAGCTAGACACAGTGTCAGTACGTACAGTACATGATAATTTGCTGCGTATATTTTACTTTATTATCTTATCCTTATACCTAGAGAGTGTTTGCAGCCTGTTATTTATAGCAGCACGACTTTTTGCCGTTTGTTCATGTAATGGTGTGTACCACTGTGGCAAGTGCTGGGTGAACTTTGACCTAATGTCGGTCGCTGTCGCTGCAGTGTGTTTGCACCAGTCGCAGCGACTTTTGCCGTTTGTCGCTGTCGCTGCAGTGTGTATTGACCTTTAGCTCCAGCATAGCTTCCATACACTAATTAACATTGTAAATTATTGAATTATATATTGTACAGTAGGTACACAACCCCGAGTGAGTATAGTCTGCATTAATTTTGCGTCTGTAAGTTTCAGCGCTTGATAATATAGACTAGTAGTAGTATAGTAGCAGGGTTCTCCCTACGTTGCGCAAACGGGGCGCGCGCGCCCCGTTTGGGAAAACTCCCCCCTGTTTGAATCGTTGCGCCCCGTTT